CTCTACCACTACATGTCAGCGCCATCCTGGGTATCATCAACTGTCCCAAGAGAATTACTTGATGTAACTCGGTGGAAGTGAAGAGCATTGATCCCTTTGTTATTAACTTTAGGTGGAATATCTTCGTCCACTGTATATTTCTGCAAATTTTATGTAGATTTCTTTTTTAATTAATCCATAAAAGAAAGTAAGTAAAAGGAACTAACTATAATGTGTTTATGTAGATAGGAGGAGGGAAATTGTCTTTTTCATGTATTTGAAGTTGTATATGGGTTAATTAGTACCTCCTGTAATTCTTTTAATATGATTGTTGTGTTTTTGCGTTCAAAAAAATTTTTTTTTTCTTTAGCAATACCAACCTTGACATTTGTCAAGTCTACATCATGTTCCTCCAAGAACCTGCAGAATTCCGTTAAACTTTCATATGTGGGACGGTTATGGCCACTGCAGGGCCATATTCCCTGCATATTACATACACAAACGTAAGATTAGAAAATAAGTATATCTAAATGCGTGCACCATGAATATTTGACTTAAAACTAATGAGCAATACGTGAAGTGACTACACACACGCACATATATATATATATATATATCATGCATGATTACACATTCTGTTATCATATATCATTAACTTCAATGGCAGAAGTAATGAAAACTGTTATTGTGTAACGGAGTGTATAATTTTGTAAAGTATATCAATCATTTCTTATATAATGGTACATACACCCCATATAGTTATATACTCCATTACATACTCCGTCAGTATGTAATAGAAACTGTTAGTTTTAACAATACAATTAACAGAAATTATCAATTTTAATTGTATGAATAACGAAAATCGTTAACTTTAACAAAAACAATAACAGAAACCGTTAAATTTAACAAAAATAATAACAGAAACAGTTAATTTTAACTGAAACCGTTAAATTTAACGAAAATAATAACAAAAACGGTTAACTTTAACTGAAACAATAACCAAAATCGTTAACTTTAATAGAAACAATAAAAACCGTTAACTTTAACTGCACAAATAATAGAAATTATATAATATGTAACTTTGCAAAGTGTACCAATAATTTTTCCCATGTATATTATATTTAAGCATGCATATTTAAAAAAAAAATTTAATGTGAGATTTTCCCAATTGTGCACATATTACATTCCCTCCCTTATATTTATTTACCTGGAGGATCCCACTATCAACAGCGAGTCTACCAGAAGCAATGGTGGCAGCTCCGGCTAGGAACGTAGAGTGGTGGAAGAAACCCTTCGTCTTTTTCCCAGCATAAAGTTTTCTTGATGGACTTAGAACGAATATCAATTTAGATCCCTCTGTGCTTGTCAAAGGCTCCCCACCTTTTTTGTAGACAAACTTCCCTATCTTGATGACAACTTCATAGTCGCTCCTCTCTTTCTACATGCAGCAACGAAGTTATTTTTTTTCTTTTTCTTTTTTTTTTTTTAAAGGATATGATAATCAATCAAATTTACCAAAAGCAATACTCCTATATTTATTACGTAAACTTTTCTTACAGGTTCAAGATATTTGACACATTCTTGTTGTAGTTTGGTCCTATGGCAGTCCTTAAGATTCACGTCTCTGCCGTCTCCGTGATCCAACCTTCATTAAATATTTTCCAATAAAATGTGAAAGAAATGACATGCACGGTCAGAGGAATAAAAAATGCAATTAATTCACATAACCTGTAGAAGCTAATAATTTGTGAACCTCTTTTTGATAGCCAGTAGAGACTTAAGCATCAAACTTTAAAAGAATATAACCAACTGTATTAGACCACAAGCCACAAACCGCACAGACTACATATATAGTTGATAATTATATTTTGTAAACTTATTAAAAGAAGAAGTGTTGAGGGCTGTTATACTTTGAGACTATATCGTGATATAACAGCAGATGGTTAATTATAAGTTGTAAACTTACCAAAAGAAGAAGTGTTGAGGGCTGTTACTTTGAGACCAGATATCATGATATAACAGCAGATTGTGGCCATAGCGGTGGCGTGGGTGATCAATCTGCATTTGAATTTGAAGCAAAAATAAAGGTTTAAATACTATTTTGGTTCCTCAACTTATTACTTTGATATCAAAATTATTCTTTAATTTTAAAAAATATTAAAATTATTCTTAAACTGTTATTTTTAATCCCAAAACAGTATCAATTAAATGCACAGGTGGCAGTTAACTTGCAAGCAAATCAATGTCTTTTTTTCTTAACTAATGACATAAAAAAAAAAACAAAAAAAACACTTCGGTCACTTTTACTTATGGGTTAATATTTTTATTTAATTTAAAAATAATGATATTTTTATTTTTTTTATCCACGTCATCTATTCTTCCTCTTTTCACTTTCTCTCTCCTTTACCTTTACCTTTGCTTTTCCCTTACCTCTGCAAACCCAAATCTGGGTCTCTCTTAAACTTCATCTTCTTCCTCCTTTCCTCCTTCCTTTCTCTGCTCATCCTTCTTCTTTCTTCTCTCTCTCTCAAACCCAGATCTGGGTTTTTCTCAAAGAATTTGTACAGATCGGGGATTTTCGGTAGCAGCTTGGATGTCCCCTAATTTGTACAGGGTCAAGGATTCAATTTCATATCGAATCCCTTTGGAAGATATAGAAGGAGGGTAATCTGATGAATCTGAGAATTTCCAGAGTTGAGGTGGTGGCAGTGGTGGCCCGGGTTCAAGCGGTGGCTTCGGTTTCCGAGAACGACGTTTGTTGGAAGTAAAATAGAAACTTAAAGAGGCTGAGAAGGAGGAGCAAGCTGGCTGCCACAGCAACACCCACGAACACCCATTTTTTGGAAGATTGGAACTCTCCGTTGTCCGTTGTATTTTTCCTCCCCTATATAAATCGTCGGTCGGGTTTTACTCTCCGTCTGTCTCTCTCCCTTGTCTCCGTTGTAGCACACTTCGTAAAGATTTCCCGTAATTTTCGGCTTTGTTCCGTTAGGAATGGCGTTCGTCTCGTTCGTCGGGAGAGTTCTTTTCACTTCGGTCTTCATCCTCTCTGCTTGGCAAGAGTAAGCTTCACTCCAGATCTGCACTTCCTTTTTTGTTTTTTTTTTTTTTTTTTTTTTTTTTTTTTTAAAGGATATGATAATCAATCAAATTTACCAAAAGCAATACTCCTATATTTATTACGTAAACTTTTCTTACAGGTTCAAGATATTTGACACATTCTTCTTGTAGTTTGGTCCTAGGGCAGTCCTCAAGATTCACGTCTTTGCCGTCTCCGTGATCCAACCTTCATTAAATATTTTCCAATAAAATGTGAAGGAAATGACATGCATGGTCAGAGGAATAAAAAATGCAATTAATTCACATAACCTGTAGAAGCTAATAATTTGTGAACCTCTTTTTGATAG